AAAAACTCAAGTTAAAGCTCTAGTGGGTAGGTAAAGATATTCAATGCAATGTTCTCCAACCTTCTTCAGATCTGTTACCAACCATATTTATAACCTCTTGCTCGAAAATAGCCGTTTCTAGCCGTTGGGGGTCATTAAATGCTCTGCAGGACACAAAGCTCGAGCTGCAGAATTGTCAGGAGAGCCGGCTTAACATATTAGAGCCGGCTCTGCAGAGTCGGCTTACATTTCCAGAGCCGGCTATCCGGGTCTGTAGCACATTCTGTTTTCCTCGAGAGCCGACTGCAAAACTTTGAGCCGGCTTTGCAACTCCGACTTTAAATTCATTAAATAATCTTCAAATGCTCGACCGTTGTGCATTAAATGCACCCTTACAGCCGGCTGCAAAGCCAGAGCCGGCTTTGCGTCTTTTCTCCGCGCGCGCCAAACAACGGTCTTCAAATTTTTTCCTGTAGAGCCGGCTGCAGCTTCTAGAGCCGGCTGCAGCTTCTAGAGCCGGCTCTCTGCACTTCCATTTCACCACAGCCGGCTGCACTTTACAAGAGCCGGCTCTCTGCACATTGAATCCTTTTGGTCTATTTTTAGTGCCATCCAAGTTTACTTGCAATCTTTTAGCAACTTAACTACACACTTAAATAAACCAATTAGTCATTCAAATGTGTTTTGTAATCATCAAAATCATAGGTACAACAGTGAATATTCCATTCCTTTTTATATTTATTTTTAATTAAACATGCCAACAAGTATAAATCAAGTATCAGATAAACAGGTACAAATATGGTAATGAAATAGACATCTTCTTACAAGTCATGGCCAACATTTATGGATCTCCCACTAATAAGCACAAGATTACTAGTGAGGCTAGATGCGCACACGGGCAACCAATTAGTTGCTAGACAACCACACCAAAATTAGGCCTATGGTGTGGGCACAAACGGGCTTTGGGCCCAAGGAGATGGTTTCGAGTCTCAACCATTTATAATCAGTATGGTGTTCAATTCCAAGCCTAAGACGGTCCCAGGTTTCAACTGTTTATAATTGGTGCGAAGTTCGATTCCAAGGCTTGGAATTGAACAACTGAATAATAAACTTGAAAACCAATGCTATTTTTCAAGAAAATATAAAATATATACCCTCTAAAAGACAAACCCTAATTTCATTCATTCCCTACCCTATAAATTTTTATCTATTACCTCCACCCCCTGACCCTCCGCCAAAACCTTTCCCCCCACCTTAATTTAGAAATTTTCAACCATTCCCCCTAATTTTTGAATGGAGTACTCATCTTTTAAGCTTTTAATCTCTCATATTTCCTTCTCACTTCACTTTCACTTTCTTTTTTCTCACTTCCTCTCATCATTTTCTCCCTTTCACAGGCGACCAAGATCTCATCCTCTTTTTACTGTAAACTCTCATCATCTCTAACCCCAATCTACTTTGGCTTTAGTCATATCTTTGTAGTGCATCACCAAAATTCTGAAATCAAAGCCTTACTAAGATCTCCTGTCTCTTTCTCTCTCCATATCTCTCATTCACAACCACCATCTTTCAAGCTCACCACCACCCTTTTTCCTCACTTCTAAATAAAGCATAAACTTATCTATTTTCACTTTGTTATCATTTTGAGCCATAACTTCTTCTTTTCTAGGAGATCTTTAATATTGCTTTCAACTCCTCTCCATCCTGTTCCTGATTAACCTAGTAAATTTATATGTATCCTTTCTCTCTTCTTTTTTTTTTTTTTTCCTTTTCAGCTCTTCCTATGGATTCCAATTTTGTTATGGATTAGCTTTGGTTTTGAATTGGTTTTTGATTAAATCAGCTCTTTGATTCTTAATTACTGCAATAAAATTACGCTTTAGCAATTTTTGCTACTGTGGTAAGCTATAACAGTAGACAAAAAGTCTGAGAATTTGAATTCCTAAGGTGAATTCGGATGAAATTATTCATTCCAAAAAAAAAAGAAAGAAATTGGATGGAATTAATTGTTGACTTGCATAATTAAACTTATTTCTTGATTTACTTATATTTATAATTTACTTCTGCTTATTTATGCTATATTTGATAGCTTAAAGATTGAGTTTTTGAATCAGTAATGATATTTTAGTTAATAGAGAGGTTTTGTGTTTGCTACTCTGAGCATTGTTTTTATTTTTATTTTTCTAACCTTTTGTTTTGTTAAAATCTAGAATGAGCACAATTTTGATATTATAGCAATAGGGTATGCTAATATTTAGAAAAAGGTGGTGTCAATAAAATGGTAAGAATATTTTTATTGATCGGGATTAAAAGAGGAAAAATCTTGATAGATTATAGCAAGAGGGTCTACTAAAATGGAATAATTACTTGTTGATGTTAAAACAAATGGAAGTGAAATCGAGAACCCTTTTTTTCTAAGTTTGTGGTGGATTGTAATGCATTTATAGTGAAGAGGTTGGCTTGTATTAATTTGTGGTATTTTATGAATTGAGCTTGAAAGTTAAAGTGCAGCATCAATTGTTGTTGACCATTGCATGTTTCTAGGGCACACCTTCTCTTCGTTTAATATGTGTACTAAGGTTTGTTTTTTGTTTTTCTTTCTGTTGAATAGATTTTACAATTTAAATGCATGTAAAAATGCATTTCTCTAGTTGCCACCACCATTGGTTGCCAAAAAATCGTAGATTTCTTCAACTAGTTGGTGTCCCTTTATTTTATTGCATTCCAATGAGTAGAAAGTCAACTAAACTTTTAGGCTTTGGTTTTGTTTAGGTTTCCTGAAATGGAGTGGATTGGAGCAATTAAGTTTTGGGTAAAGTTTTTTGTATGTAATTGTTTAATATTATTGTCTCAGGGGTGTGGGTTTTTCTTAGTTGAGTTTTTGGATTTTTTTTAATTGAATTTCTTGGTTAAACCTATTGTTCACTTTTGTAGAAGTTGGGTTGATTGTACCTGCATTTTGTTGAAATCATCCATTAGTTGATAGGTGATTTTTGATAGAGCTAAATGGGTTGAATAAGGTTTAAAATAGTGGAAGTGTTTGAATTTTTGAGATTTCTATTATGAATTTATCTTGATTGATATGGTATATAAGGATCATCTAAAAAGGAAAAATTTAAGGTTAAGAAAAAAGCAGGTGCATCATTTGTTAGAAAATTAAGATTCTTTTTAGTATGTTGTTTATAATGCTTATAATTATAATTCTTAACCCTTTATACCTAATTGGTTGCAAACTTGCATTATTCTATTCTATTACGATATTCAAGATTCAAGATATCAAGATGGAGATTGACCACTTGAATGGAATTAACCTAGCTGTAAGTTTTAGTTTAGTAAATGTGATTATTTTCTTATCATCTAGTGAATCTAGTTAATATCTTACAATTTTTTCTTGAATTAATCATGTAAATTTTGACCTTTTTGGTACAAGGTGTGAGTAATGTTGCTAATGCTGATGTACCAATGGCAAATAATGCTACTGAGTTGCGCAACAATGATGGTGAAGGTGGGAATCTTGGAAGGAAAAGAAAGGATATACAAAAAAGGTCAAAGGCATGGCTATACTTCACTTCATTTGATGATCTAGTTACTGGTAAGTAGAAAGCAACATGTAATTATTATGGAAAGGTGTTATGTGCTGAACCTAGGAGAAATGGTATTTCTACCATGAATGGTCATGTTGAATGTTGTTTGAAAAACCCGAGTAATTCAAAGAATAACACATTATTGAAGCATATTAGTAAAGTAGATAGAAGTAAAATAGTGATTGATTTAGGGACTTCAAAGTTTGATGAAGTTGCAATGAAGAGAACATTGGCTGAAACATTAATTATTCATAAAGACTCATTTAACTTAGTTGGAAAATTAGGCCTTAGGAGGTTTTGTGAAGTAGCATTGCCACCAACTTTTAAAATTTCATTAAGGAGAATCATAACTAGAGAATGTTATGACATCTATGTAAAACATAGAACTACCTTGAAAAATTCCTTCAGAGAATCAAATCTAAGAGTGTCATTAACCACTGACACTTGGACTAGCTTACAAAGAATCACTTATATGATATGAGCTTGACTACTCATTTCATTGATGCTAAGTGGAAGTTACATAAGAAAGTAATCTGTTTCTGTCTTGTTGGTAGCTATAAAAGAGATGAGTTGGGAGATTTTCTTGTTAGATGTTTGAAGGATTGGGGATTAGAGAAAATGTAGGTATTAACTATTGACAATGCATTAGCAAATGATAGACTTGTAAGGGTTTTAAAAGATACAATGAAGAAATTGGGAACTGCTATTCTTGGTGGGAAAGATATTCACATGAGATGTGTAGCCCACATCATAAACTTGGCTATTGGTGAGGGTACCAAAGATAAAGAAATGAACAAGTCTGTGACTGCCATTAAAGTTGTAGTCAAGTAGTTAGGCAAAGTCCTATGAGGTTAAAAAGATTTAAGAAGGCTTGTGAATGGGCAGAAATTGAAACTAAGACGCTATTGTGTTTAGACATCTAAACAAAGTGGAATTCACTTGATGCGAAACACTATTGAAAGGTTTAAGGAAGCTTTTGAGAGGTTAGTCTTATTTTATTTTGTTTGTATTTTCTTTTCTTTAATAGTTTTTAGTTAGAAATCTTAACTATTTACTTAATGGTTGCATTTCTTTTCTTTTCTTTTCTTTTTAAGATATGCAAGACAAGGCCCAAACATGAAGAATGAGTTGAACGATGACCTAGATGCTCCTAGATTCCCTTCTTGCATAGATTGGGAAAATGTAAGAAGATTAATCAAGTTTTTACATCATTTCTATGAGTTGACAAGGAAGGTTTTTGGCACCTTGTATACCACCAGCAATTTATATTTTCCTGAGCTTAGTGAGGTAATATATTTCCTTTTATAAGTAATACTTCATTTCAATTACATTATAAGTTATAGATCTTGTTAAATTATTTTACTTGTAGGTTGATCATGTACTTAAAAAATAGGAATGAGATGTTCCCTTCATGATATTGTTGGGGGAATCCAAGGGAGATGAATAAAAACATCTTCTTTGCAGTGGTGCTAGATCCAAGGTATAAGATAGAGTATATATAGTACATAATGTTAAAGATTTATGGTCGTAAACCTGATGATGATGGGCCACTTTATGTTGCCATGGCCAAATGTGAGATGGGAATGTTGTTTCAAGAATCCAATAGGTTGAATGCCTCTACTGTAAAATCAAGTGACTGTTAATCATCTGATGAACAAGTAGCTTTACCTCCACCATCAATACCCAAAGTGTGGCAAATCCAAAAAAGAGAGTGAAAACATCCCAAATGAGGTCTGATTACAAGAAGTTTAAAGCTATCGATGGTAGAAAAGTAGAAAAAAACGAAGTTGGAGAAGCACTTGGCAGAAGATCTCGAGTATGAGGATGAAGACATTGATGTTCTTCAGTGGTGGAAGATGATTGAGCATAGATTTCTAGTATTAGCAACCATGGCAAGAGATGTCTTGGTAGTCCCAATATCTACTATTGCTTCTGAATCAACATTCAACATTGGAGGCAACATCCTTGATGCTTTTTGATGATCATTGACACCAAGAATGGCACAAGCTCTCATATGTGCACAAGATTGGTTGAGAGATAAGGTAGATTCTGTTTCTGATATGAAGGAGGAAGACTTGGACAAATTTGATAGTTTAGAGATAGGTAATATATTGTATACTACATGTTCTTTCTTTTAAATTCAATTATTTACCTAATTATACAATTGAGAAAATTTTAACCTTGAAACTTTTTTTTTTAATTGATTTTACAGAGTTTGATAAGCTTCATCTAAATTCCACCATTCTTGAATGAATGGTGGATTTATAAATGGTAAGGTACAAGGTAAATTCCTAAACAACTTTAAACTATGCTAACTTAATACAATTAAGTAATTAAATTAGCATTGATGTAAGCTTTTTCAGTCATTTCTTTTGCTTATTTATAATTTCAACTAACTAATATTTACTTTTGCTAATTGTCCTAGATGCAAGTGTACAAGCACTTTTTTGTTAACTTAAAATCAGATGCTGTTGTGGCCTGTATTGTGTATAACGTGCTTTTTGGTCATGTGGCACTACCTAGACAAGTTTTCTTTTGGACAAACATGTTTTCTTTTAGACAAGCATGTTTGTTTTGGATAAATAGGCATTCCTTTGGACAAACAAGCATTCTTTTGGATAGTTTCTCTTTCAGACAGTTTCTTTGGACAATTTCAAAGTTATTGAGGGATGGCAATTAGACATAACACGCAACCTGTGTTAGGGAAGAATGGTGGTTTTTTGAACTTAAGTCACTTGGTAGTTGGTATCAATAGTAGACTAGTTTAGTTAATGTTTATGTTACAACTTAGGCTTGTTACTTTGTTACTACTCTAATCTGTCTTAGTATTTGAATAGCAGAGTTTGTACTTTAGTAACAGCTTGTGATGCAATGTAGCTACTTGATGAAATATATGATATTTCTAATTCCAATTAGAACTTTGTTATTGGTTCCTTTTCTATTGTTTTATGTTTTATTTTTGGACATTATGTGATTAGTTATCATGTTCTAAGTTGGAAGTGAATATGTTTATGTTGAGTGCATTGTTTTCTTGTTTCTCTTGGATTGATTGATGGAGTTTTGTTTCAAGTTTGGATAGGTAAATTGGTTTTTAATTTGCTAAGTCCTAAATACATTTTATTGCTATTAATTTTTATTGTTTCTCTTTTAAGAGTGTTTCTTATATAGTTGTATGGCATTTTATAGCCTTTCTTAATTCTCAATGATTCATGCTATGATTTTTTTATTGCAATTTGAATGCAAAAGTGAATGGTTCAAAAAGTGGCTTGAAAGTTTATACTTAATATTTGAAACTTTAGAATTTTTGATTCATTTTTGTATGTACCATATCTGCCACCTCCTTTCCCATGGATAAAATTTTGTCTTTTGATTTTTGCAATCTTGCTTAGAATTTTTTTCTTTTAATGGAAAAGTCTTGCTTAGATTTTAAAATGGGGCTTCTTTAGTTTTACATAGAGTCTACAATCATTTGGTGTTGAGTCTATTGCAGCCTTGAGGCTGGGATGAACCCTTTTTTATGAGCCATGGGTTACAAGAATTAAGACAAGATTGAACAACTTTTGATGCTTTTTTTTGGACTTGTGAAATGTGATGGCTTATTAGTTTTGGATATTTGGATCATAAAATTAAAGGAAATGGATCACAAAGCATCATTAGAAATTTGAGCCACAAAACGAAAGGCCCAAACCCAAAAAAGTAACTAAGGCTAGAATTAGTCAAAACCGAGATTGATGCCAACCAAACTAACTAATTCGATGACAAAATTGAATAACCAAAGTGTTATTTGGTTCAATCTTTGGTTGTTATCTCACAAAATAATCAACTGATCAAAACAATCAATTTGGGTTTGATTCCAACCAAACTGAATTGATGCCAACCCTTAATAACTAGTGTATAATCTCATTGAGAATAATAAGTATAACAAGAATAAATCGATTCCAAAAGTAACATATTGGCATGTGCTTACATCTATAAACCTCTCATTGGTAGGTACAAGTGAAACCTGACTATATCTAAGTCTAAAATAGGTTAGCAAGAGTATATCAAGTGAACATGCTTATTTTAAGAAAAGTAGGTATCTCACATATCTAGTAGTATCAATTAATTTTCGGTTAAATGCTAAATTTGGTCTCTCAACTTTATGAAATACACATTTTTGGTCCCTCAATAAACTTGTGCACTTTTTTGATCCCTCAACTATACAAAATGCACTCTGTTAGTCCTTCTATTAATTTAGATTGTTAACTCGCTCATGTGGCATTTTTTATAGTTTTTTTGATGACATGGCAAAAACTAATTGAAAATGTGTTGATGTGGAATTTTTTTTCATGACAGCTCATGCCAATGCACATGATTACTATTTATATTTAAAAAAAATAAAATAAAATAATTCGATCCATCTTCTTCCTTTCTTTTTTTTCTTTTTCTTTCTTCCTCTTCTTTCTTCCTCTTCTTCCTCTTCTTTCTTCCTCTTCTTCCTCAGGTCATCGAACCCAGTTTGCTGGGTTCAACGAAACCTAGCCTAGGTTCCACCAAACCCAACAGATCTGGGTTCGATGGAACCCATTTGCTGGGTTCCAGCGAACCCAAATCTGTTAGGTTCCTGGGTTCGGTGGAACCCAAGCGGGGTTCTGTCGAACCAACTCCACTTTCTTTTTCTTTTTTTTTGTTTATATGATTGTTTGCCAAGAGATTATCCAATTGCAAGTTGTTGTGAAGGATTTTTGGGCTACTGGTTTTTTTTTTTTTTGTTATATGATTGTTTGCTAAGAGATTATCCAAATTGCAGGTTGTTGCGAGGGATTTTTGGGCAACTGGTTTTTTTTTTTTTTT